TTTGAACTGGCCATTGAGTTGAAACATGAATATTTATCTGAGGAATGAATTTGTTCTGAGTAGTCAGGACGTAAGACACGTTTTCCCGGAGTTACCCGTCCTCCCCGTTCTGACGTGATTCTGATGTAATGTTGATCTTTTTGCTGGGTATTTTTCCAAGGGTGATTGTTCGTGTTTTGACTGCTTGAGAATTGGGTGGAGCACTTTTCTCGAGAGGGTGATTTATTTTTCTTGACAGACCTTACAGGGGTAGAAATATGATATCAAAAGGTTTGAAAGCCTTGCAGGACGTGTTCTGTTGGAAGATCCGGCGATTTCGTGGGACATGTTCTATTGGCAGAGTCGTTTGGATTGGAATGGTGGATGATTTATTGTTAGCATAGGGGTTTTGGTTTTTCTGTCTGCCGTTTTGTCTGGCAATGATAGTCGTGTCGGGGATTTCGTAGATAGTACCTCGTACCGAGCAGGGGGGCTGTTTGGGGTGCTCGGCAGAGTATACTGTCTACGGGGCCTCCGGGGGGTACGCGGATGGAATGTATTGACAGACATGCTGCATGGCGATGGTGTGGCCTACCGCATGTCTCTTACTCTCTAAGCAACAAGGTCTTGAGTCAACCTTCAGTCTCGTTCGGCCTCTGACGAGCTACCGCACCCAAACAAATTTTTTGTTGTCGGCTTGTTCATATTTTTAAGACAGTACCGTAAATGACACAAGATAAAACACCCCCTGGACCGATTTTCAAATCTCGATCTCTCCACAACAGAAAGAGTCACGCCACCGAAAACGGCGGCGTTGAAACCGTCTCGTCGAGAGCTTTTCGAAAATGTATCGTTTCGTTTATGCATCCTCTTTGTTGTGGAGTAATCGAGCTTTGAAAATTGGTCCAGGGGGTGTGTTATCTTGTGTCATAGGTAGACACATCCTCTATATAGAAAGACTAACCGTTCGAGATTTTTTTTTTGGCTTGACTTTAAATCAGCGCTCAAAGCGCTAGTGCCGTTTACTCCAACCCGTGGACACACCGAAGGGCCCCTCTCTACCCTCCCCCGCCCCCTCCTGCGGTCTCTTGCCTTCGATTTGCAATGCGGGAAGAGTTCAGCTTTCTCTTCCCTCTGTGTACACTCGAACTCGCTATCCGCAAGGCCAGGAGCGGAAGCGAGAATAAAACTCACTTTGCAAGAAGAGCTCGCTTACGCCGGGATCCGAACCCCTGACCTGACCTCTAGAAGGTTGCGAAGATACCATATAGACCACCGGGGCGACCGGCTATCCTCAGTCGAAGGGGATGTGAAGTCTTTTCACAAAGTGGATCGAAATCAACCAACTGGAGACCTTGTCATATTTTGAGGTTGTTTTTGTTTCCCCCCAGCCCCCAGATACGACGGTACGACCCAAGGACCCGAGAGGTACGCATGAAATTACGTGGAAACCGTTGAACCGTTTGGGATGTGTACCCTTGGGTACCCCCCTCGACTCCTGCGCGTTTGTGTGTACATGGGACGTCGCCGTTCCGTGATATCAGGTGCGGTTAAAAATACGACACGCGGAGTTTCATTACTGACCACACAAGTACGTACTGCTGTAAAACCTGTTCACACGGTAGGACACAGTCAGTCGACCCCCAAGAATATGTGTCGGATTTTGGTTTTCGACGGCAGCAGCAGCAGTGCTGGCGGGAGAAAACGAACAGCAGTGACCACTTACTTACCGTTGGGGACAAGAAGCTGGGGATTGGTATGCGCGGGGTCTCATCCACCAGTCATAACACAAAGGATTTTAGGATTGTTCCCTGGTTCGATGATGTGCGGATACTTTCTGTTCTCTTTATGTCACACACACAGACTGCACACACACGCACCCAACAGAGGCACAATTCGGTGAATCTTTACCACGCAAGCCAGCATGCTGTGGATAAGTTGGGATAATGACGTCACGCGTTAACCGTTGTGTGCCTCTTTCTGTTCCTCTCCACACCTCTCTCCCCCCTCCTGTTCGTGCCCAAGCTCAGCACAACCCACACTCGCTTTTTCTCCCCGTCTCTCCGAAGACGAAGGCGCGAACTATGAATTCCACGACCACCTCGACCGCCTCGCTGACCTCCTCGGACCCCGCGTATGCCCTGCAGCCTGCAACGCTCGGTGATGTCCAATCGCTTGGGGATGAGATGGATATATTCTGGTTGATGTTTGGCGCCATCCTCGTCTTCTGTGAGTGTTATGTGTTCTTGTCTGTTGTTCTCGCCCTCCGAGCTTTGTTGCTTTTCTTCAAATCGACATGTCCATGTCATCTGAGTCTGCAGGCCTAGCGCTCGCCACGTGGGTTCCTACTGATGACCCTCGTGCTGGCCTGATGTCGCCATTTTCCGCGGTGTCGTGAAGACGATGGCCGCCCCCAGCGTCTTGTATCCTAGGTCCTGAGGGAACAAATTTTGACAGGCCGGAGAGTTGAGGGGACAGGAAAAAAGGCTCGCTCTCTCCGATGGTGCCCGTCCTGTTGCCGAGGTGGTACTCCCAGCCTGCAGAGTAATGTGACACGAGGAGGGCCTGGCATTGAAGAGATGGGTGATGTGTTTGGGGTACGTCGAAAGTGTTTGTACAGCAGCAGTTGAGGCTAGTCCGGTGGATGTCCTGCCGCGCGCTGCCGCCGTTGCTCCCCTTCCTTTTCTTCTCTCTACGCTGTTCTTTGGGCACATGCGGCACATGAATCACTTTCGGTTAAAAAAACTTAATACACCGTGTAACAGCACCCCGCCGCGGTCGGGCAAGAGTACAAGGAGTTGCTCAGCTCACCCCTGTCGTCCCTGTTTTACTTTATTTTACGAGAAGAACGGCAGCTCCTGTGACGAGAGCTCTTGTGTGGAACCCATTTTTTTTCTCCCAAGCTCGCGACGCTGCAAAGCGCGAACCCCTCCGTCTCCTCTCAATATCTCAAGAGCTTTTTTTGTTGACCAATGAACACTCTTCAAGCGCTCTTTCCCCGCTTCCCATCGTGAGGCTTGAGGTCCGTCTGTTCACGGCGGTATGCCGTCAGCTTGCGTAACCCACATCCGTGACGCATCGTGCGAACGCACAAAACTGCTGCGACCTGTGGGGCGCAAAATTCTTGTTTCGTACGCGCGCGCAGTGTTACATCCAGGCGCAGTTCCGTGGTTCAAAGCCGAGAGCTGCTGGCTCGTGACATCATATTTTCCACCTTTTCGATTCAGAGCCAAACATCATATTGTCGGAGTTTAGCCTACTATAGTTTGCCACGCGTTCCCTCTTCAGACGCGTACCATGCATGCTGCTGACGGCTTTCTGCTGCCGCCCACCCCATGCCCGATGCCGCCGCCATCGCCTGCCGTCAACAACATCCACCGCGACTGCTGCTGCTACGTCAGTCATGCAGACTGGATTCGCCATGCTGGAGGTGAGAGCGGAGAGAAGAAGCAGCGCATGCGTATGCTGGCTACGTTGTTGTTGCGCCTAATTAGTGCCACGTTATAAGATCGCAGCACCATCCTTGAATCCGAAAGGTGAAGAGCAGTGACACTCCTCGTATGCAGATATGGGTTCGATTTTAGAGGCGCACGGGTTGTGGTTCGAGCGACACAGGTTTCTTTTGTCCCCCACGTATCCCAGTTTTTACAGCTACGTCTCTTGCTGTTCCCATTCCGATTAGACCGGCCGGGGGCGCCGAAAATTCGAGGCCTGGTCTGTACACTTTCAGGCATCCACGTGCAAACGTTCAAAGTAAAGAATATCTCATCCTTGCCTATCCTGCATTAGACACGATGCGTTTGTTCATCATAAATTTATCCCTGCTCCTCTTGAATTCTCAAAGAGTATGCCCTCGTCGTGATCCGTGCTTTTTTTTTCGTTCACTTCAAGTCAGCGCCCACCATGCACCTCGATCAACCCTTCGGGGTCTAAAGGCGTCCTGACTGATCACTGGTTTATCACTTGCAAATGATGTTGTGGCATGCCATGGAGTTGTTACCCTGTTCTTCTCCACGTCAGGTGGAATAAGTCAACAGGTACGTGTGTCTTCATTATTCGCATCGACCGCGCCACCAGGTGACCAATGCCAAGACGTCACAATAGTGCCTGCGGGTAAAATCCCTGGGACGGCAAAATTTCGAGAAATGCACAATTTCATGCAAATGCCACCATGAATCTCTCCAACATCCTTTGACAGAGGCACACATCAATAGCTCCACATACATGCCCTCGCCCGAATCTAGGTAGCCACTCGAGAAAAGACAGGATGACAGCGACAAGAGGCACTTCAACCCCAAATAGGCCAGGATGTGATAGTGGGGTGCAGATAGCTGTTCCGTCTTTAGAAGTACGCGCATTTCTTTATTAGGAGAAACAAATATACACACAGAAAGACTACCCGTTCGAGGTATAACTACACTCGAAGGGGATGTGTTGAAGTCTTTACAGTGAGTAGAGGAAAACCAGCTGGGTACTTGACTTATTTCGAGTTTGTTTAAGCCTATACACTGATGATTTATATCAGTGATACCAGTTGGTGCTTAGCACAAAAACATCTGCGTAGGTACATTTACATGTGGCCTGCACAGGGAACACGGCGCAATATGTCATGTTGACAGTAGTTGCTGGTTTAATTTAGAAAAATACATATATTAGGAAAAACAAATATGCACACAGAAAGACTACCCGTTAAACACATTAAAGCTCCCTGTTCGAGCGAAATTCATAGTCGTTCGAGGGGAGCTTTTTACAGCAGTATTTAGGAAAAACAAGTATACGTGCAGAAAGGCTACAGCAGTATGCAATAACCGACATACGTTAGTTTATCTTTTTACTACAAAGTACTGTTTATTACAGCAGTAGTTGTTGTACCTATTTGAAAAAACAAATATACACTAGTCTAATTATTTATTTTATTTGTTTATTTGTTTATTTGTTTATTTGTTCTTTCTGCTGTACGTCTGTCCCTCTCCCGCGTTTTCTCCTCGCTGATTTGTTTTTGCTGAAGTATATAATGAAACAGCTAGACCCAAGTCTGAACGGGTTAACGGCACTCCGTGGTCACACAAAGGGTTCCTCCGCAACGTCCCCACCCCTGCTAGAGTACCTTCCTTGCCTTCGATTTTAATTTCGAAAAAGAGTGAGCAACATTTCATTCCTCTTTGTACGCTCGAACTAATATGTTGCGCTTTCCATCCAGGCCACGAACGCAAGCGAAAGAAAACTCACTTTCAAAAATGATTCAACCGGAATCCGAACACGTGACCCCAGCCAGTAGAAGGTTGACGAGGGTACACATGATTACCGACTGAACATACCGACCGGTAGGTTTGAAGGAGAAATTCCTCCACGCGATGAACAACCCAAACTTCAGCACATGCCGTTCGACTGCTGTGATATCTGTGATACTCGCGCGCATAGTACAAAATTTCTATGTGCGTTTGCTATGTTATTTTTCGACACAAACAGGACGAGTTTTTTTGGACTGCGGTCGACTAGAGCCCACTACATGCCGATGTGACGAAAACACTTCCGCTAGCAACTTAATCTGGCTCTGTCAAATTCAGCAATTTAGCATGAAGTACCTCTGCGGTTTGCCTCACAGTTGTCTGCTACCGTTCATCGGTGACTTGAAATACCACACCCGGTACGCCGATTTTGAAATATCGATTCCCCCTCGATAAACAGGATGTAGAAATGAAAGAAACATCGTCGCGAAGCCCCTGAGGCCGTTCCAACACCCCCTTCGATTCGGCGCTGTCACACACTACTCTTGCTGTTGGGTACTCAAGCTCTGGAAATCAGATCAGGAGAAGTGGGTGGGTATCTCTTGCCACGCGCCGCGGTTTTCCCGAAAGGCGACTTGTGGTCCTCCTTGTCCTCTTATTGATCAGCTTCTTTTCTGGTAACCCCAAACCTGCCCGCACCGCCACTAAACTAGCCTCCGACACCTCCATATTAAATGAGAGTAAAGAAAAAAATTGGTGGGTTGGCGTTACAGTAGCCGTTCACGCCAAGAGCCTCCTCCTCGCCCGTAAATCATTTGTGTATCCCCTTGTTTCGCATGGATCATCGACCGACGAAGAAGTTGCTCCCCCCGTCGCCATTCTTTTGCCTGTTTCGTATTCTCTTCCGTTGAACCGAACGCAAACCTATTAGGTCGGTTCCGTGTCCATCAAGAATACCAAAAACATCTTGATCAAGAACATTGGCGACGCCTCCCTGGGCGCCATCTGCTGGTGGCTGTTAGGCTACGGTGTCGCCATGGGAGATACTAAGGGTGCGTATGTACAGCGATACTAAGGGTGCGTATGTACAGCGTGCGACGAGACATTTATCGCGCACGATTACAATAATGGTATTATTTGCTTTTATCGAGTGACACAAGCCAGGAGGTGTAGGCGCGTGTCGCTTTTTCCATGTATGTCAAGTCCATGTCAGTCTGCCGGGAGTACTTGTTGGTACTGTCGTATGCCCCTGTGTCGTCTGTGAGCATAACAAGGCAACAGGGAATCGTGAAGGGGTGCCGGCGGTTTCCTACAGCGAGCAAGCGCGTCGTCCACAACACCAGGATGCCACCTGCGGTGACAGGTGGACCTTGCCGATAGTTCCCCTCTTTTTCCTCCACGCTGCCTGAGTGTTAATTTTGCCTTCCCCGCGCCCGTCCTCCCTCCCCTGGCAACCGCAGGTCGTTTCATCGGAAGCAACGCCTTTGCCCTCAAGGGCGACCACTTCGAGGCGGACGACGGCACCCTCACCAACGGCTACAATTACGCCATGTGGCTGTTCCAGTGGGCCTTCGCTGCAACCGCCGCCACCATCGTGTCGGGGGCTGTGGCCGAGCGCGTGTCCTTCAACGCGTACATCATCTACTCTATTGTCCTGACGTCGTTCATCTACCCCGTTGTCGTGCACTGGGGCTGGGGCGGCGGGTGGGCCTCCGCCTGGATGGAAGAGGACCTCCTGTTCGGCTGCGGTGTCATTGACTTCGCCGGTTCTGGCGTCGTCCACATGACCGGCGGCCTCGCCGCACTCTGCGCGGCCATCGTCGTGGGACCCCGCACCGGCCGCTTCAACGAGGATGGCACCTCCAACTCCCTCCCCCAGCAGTCCGCGGTGCTCCAGTCGCTCGGCACGCTCATCCTCTGGTTCGGATGGTATGGGTTTAACGGTGTGTCCACACTCGCCATCAACGGCCTTGCCGGAGTTGCCGCGAAGACTATGGTGACCACCACCATCTCGGCTGCCTTCGGTGCCGTCACGACTGTCCTCCTGGGCAAGCTTCACGTCGGGTATTGGGACGCAGGGGCCGCCAACAACGGTCTCCTTGCAGGTCTCGTGGGCGTCACCGCGGCCTGCTCTACCTGCGAGCCCGAGGGCGCTATGGTGATAGGCATCATTTCCGGCTTCGTGTACACCTACGCCTCCAAGATGCTTGTGAAGTTCAAGATCGACGACGTCGTGGACGCCATCCCTGTCCACTGCTTCTGCGGAGCGTGGGGTGTGTTCGCCGCGTCGCTCTTCGCGACAAAAGACAACTGTGAGTGTGCCCTTTGCCCAGCCACCTCAGCCCCCCTCCTCTTGTCCGGCAAGTTTCATCATTCCGCCAGTTGGTTCATGAGGCCTGGTCACGAAGCGATTCATGCTTGCAAGCATACTTTTGGCACAAACAACGCTAGGGGGATGGTATGTAGCCATACAGGCGCTATGCGTACGTAGTTGTTGCCAAATCATTGTGAGGTTGGTGGCCGCATATGTTCGTTTGTGAGGTAGCTTCCTCTTGGCTAGCGTTGTACGCCATCCATCTGATTCTTTCCCCCCCCCAATAACCTTGGCTCCACATCATATCAGATAGCGCGGCTTACTACGACCGCGCGGACAAGTGCGCGGGTGTCTTCTACGGCGGCGATGGAAATGCCGTCGCTGCCAACGTGGTGTTCATTCTGGCCGTCATCGCATGGGTCGTGGTTACGTGCTTGGCCCTGTTCGTAGGGATCAACGCTGTCGTCGGTATGCGTGTGGACAAGGAGATGGAGGTCAGTTCGTTCACCCGCGCCATTTTTTTTTTTCCGTCGCTGTCTGCCCTTCTCGTTCGTCTAGCTCCCGTGCCGTGGAAAATGGTGAGGTACTGTCGCTGTTCCCCCTCGTTCTTTTCTCTCGACGATCGGTCCCTGCTGCGCTTGAAGTGGGGCGTGACAGCTCGCTTGCACGGGTACAGTGTGCGCGGTGTCGATCGATCCGTTGGTCGACGCTCCATAAAATAACGATCATGTCAGCAGACTAGCTAGCGCTGACCAGTTGAATGGTTCGATGTCAGCTTCTACAGCTCGCATGGGGTAGTGCCAATGTCCATATCATACACGTCGCCTGACCCTCGCGTCTTGTCCTCGTCTTGGTCGTTTGTTTCTCCCGTCGTATTTTGTTCGTCGGCATCAGCAAATTGGCATGGACGACTCCAAGCACGGAGGCCAGACCTACCCAGAGATGCTGAAGGGGGCCACCTCGGCGTAAATTTTCTTTTTGGTTTCGCCAATGCCACGCGGCGGCCACCTGGTGATCGTCCCACGACCCTGGGTCCCGATCTGTTGCAACTCAGATGCAAGAGGCCGTCAGTGACGAGTCAGCCGGCTTCTCGCGCGCACTTGAATGCGTGGGCGAACGCTGCTGGGCTTGGTTGTAGAAGGAATAATGAAATGTAGCTAGCGGACGTCTGATGGTATACGCTCGGGCCCTTCCTGAGCCGTTCTGGCGTGTTTTTTTTTCCCCAGACACAGGTTTGGCTTGTCGCTTTTGGTGTTGGTGGTCAAATCGTTCCCCCGGAGCTTGCTGGGGTAGCTAACTCGCCTTTCGTGTTGAGAAGGAAATGGGGCGTAGTCTTGTGCTCGTAACGGAAGCGCGTCATCCTTGGCAAGTCCATGCTCGCCTACATTAGTTTAAGGTGCCCGCATTTTCCTCTCGTCTGTCCGTGTATCAGCGCTCATTTTGCGAGCGGTTGAGTTTGGGGAAGTGCTCGAACAAGAGACAAGCATGCACAAAGGTGTCACTACAACAGGCCGCTGAGTTAAAGGAGATATGGGGCGCAGGAAACATTGGGCATTGCGAGGTTACACCACTCGCCGCTAAGTATGTAAATTCATCAAATGTCTCGTGTGCATTCCTGTGTACATCAGACGCCAGTTTCGTACAATTGATCTTGTACGCACTGGGTACTTGTTAATTACGAGTGTGATGTTTTGCCCCACACGAATTGCGCAGGCCCTCGATGTGAGTACACTTGTGAGGACTCCGTTTCCGGAAGAATAGTCCGCGTCGGTTTTTGTATCGTCGTGCCCTTGTTGTCGGTTACCTTTGCTTGCTTGTTTGGGCGAGAAAAGACTGCTGTTATTAACATATCAGCGTTAGCCCGTCGCCACATGGGTACGAGTAATTTATTGCCGTCTGAAATGTTCCAGGGGGAAAAGCCGACGAGGAGACGAGTGCCGTTGGAGAGGGGTTGCGGGAGTTCTTTGTTGTTGCTTTGTACCATTAGGAAGCGGTGGCTGGAACTACGGTGTAGGCTGTACGCACTGGCAACGCTTCACGTGTGTTTGAACTCTCGGTGCCTGGCGCGTGACAGGGCAAATCGATTTAACAACGATACACGTTCTTTGTATTAACGAAGTGTTCGCTCCGGTTTCTGCCTGCCACGCGGCACAAGAAACTCGTGGTGTTGCGATAAATGCACGGGATGCGCGCACGGGGATGCTCGGCGGGGACAACGAAAGGTCGTGCACCATCATCAGCCAGGGGAGACGGCACAACGTCTCCCATGCCACCTTCACACTTTTGCAAGGCGGATATATCTTCAACGTTGGCATGCACGGTCCAGTAGCTCGGCACAAGCGACCCAGGCCTACGACCGAACGCTGACCACGCTTGGGGTATGGGTTGTAGGGTTTAGTGGCGTCTAGAGCCTCGCGCCAAGGTGTAGCGTGAGCGCTCGTAGCTTTGCTACACCGTAGCTTTGGTGTCGTGTCTGCCTCTAGCCGCAACCCAAAGGCTGCCCTGGAACTGACCGCGAGCAACGTTGGTTGGCGCACAAGCTGGATCAGGGAAATGAACCTCAATTCGTTCAACCACATCTGCCAGGCGAAGTACGTCCACGAACTTAACATGAGGTATCGTAGTGGCCTCCGTAAGCAACGGAACAGACCCCCGTGGCCGGAATGTAAATCGGGGCCGTGGTCACAATGCTATTGACATAAATAGGTAGCCAATCAGAAGCCTTCAATATGAAAACGCATGCAACGACCCCGCCCTTCCCACCTCTTCCCACCGCGGTTTTGCACCAAAGCGATCCCCATGGTCTGGGGATCAAAAGTAAAAATCAAACTGAAAACGGTTATTATTGTGGAGGCGAATTTTGCCCAAAATGGCGGTAAAAATGCCGCGATTTCGCGTCGTCAGATTTCCATGGACGGATTGTTTCTGGGATAAAATACAGAGACTCGTGCGTGTTTGCCTTCTTAGGGTCGACCTAAACCAAGGGCAAAAAAAAACTGCGAACCTGCGATCACAGGTTTTGCCTGCGAATATGGAGGCTTTTTACCTGCGATCGCAGGTCGGGAGCAGGGCCGAAAAAATCACCTCTGCTCCTTTTCTGCGATCGCAGGTACAAACCTGCGATTTCTGCGATTCTCTTGAGAGCATCACGTTGGATCGGGCACAGCAGCACACCAAGCCACCTGTATCACCCCCGTAGCTGCACTATAACCCCCAAAACTGATCGCCAGAGTAGGCTGGGGTCCATAGCCGACAATAGAAGGCGCCGGGAGCTTCGGGGAACCTCACAGACGGCTCCGCAAAGGCGGCGACTGCGGCGCTGCGACCAAAAAGCCCATGATGATACGACGTCTACTGCTGCGATCAAGGCCGCCGTGATGGCCTTCCTTGTCCTGGTCGGTGTTGCAACTTCCTCTCACAGAGACAGAGGAAGACTGGTCTATCCTAGACGCCTGCCGACGACCTTGCAGGGCTGAGCGAGCGGTGGTACTCCCGGCGACGACCTCGCGAGACATGCCTGGCGGAGGGCTGATGCCCACAGCAGGAGGCATTTGAGGCCGTCCTAATAACCCATAACCAGCAGCAGCAACTGCTTCCCGCTCGTCTGGAACCGTAAAGGAAGGGACCCAACCCTCCTGGGCCTTGATACCCGCGGTGTCACACTGTTTTGGTCGGCCATGGTGGATGTTTGTCCTGTCTCTTATACACATCTAGATGTGTATAAGAGACAGG